CCCTCCTGTCCCGTGTCCCTGTCCGGGATCTCCCCGCCCCCTCGGGGTGAGGGCTCGGGACTGCTCCCATCTCCCGCCCCGTGCAGGGGCCTCTTCTGCACCCCGTTCCTCCGGGATGGTTGTGCCTGGGACCCTTCTGCTTGTCTGCCCCGCCCGCGGGTGTGTTTTCTTATCCTCCTGGTAAGGGCCTCCTCATATCCCCAGTGCTGTGAGGGTGGGGAGGTGGAGCTGGGCGCCACGGGGGGAGGAGGAGAAGAATCGGCGGCAGCATCGGGTGTCCCAGGGCTTAAATTAAAATGGCCACTTGCAGTCAACACCACCAGCGAGTTACTGTCTGCCGCCCCCGGGCCCTTCTCCTCCTTCAGCTTCAGGGAAGAGGGCGCTTGCTCCCCAGGTCTTTGCCCCCACTTATGTCAGTGTGGGAAGATGGAAGCCTTTTTAACATAGGTTAGAACCCAGCCTATGGGAGGCTATGGGAGGCTGGGTGGGTAAGGGAAGAGCTGGAGCACCAGAAAATACAGGGGACTTCATTCCATTGAAGCAATGTTATAATTAATGTCTCTAAGAAAGTAGAGAAGCTACTTTCAGGGCCAGGCACCTTTTAAAAAGATTTCCTACTTTGATATCTAAGACCAGGAGCAGGTCTTCTAGTGGAGCTCGGGGACCTGTAACTGTACCTCTTACATCTTGTGTAGACACACTGCCATAAGTCTTTGTGCATCCAAATTGTGTATCAGAGTGTTAAAAAGTAATTGGTAGCACCTATTCTTTCATGTTTTCTGAAATCAGATCACTTAATTTGGCAAAACCCAGATACAATCAGGAACATCTTCACATTTTTGGCTTGTATTGGAGTAGCACCTTAGTTTCATATGTGGACTTTATGTTACTAATTTCATAAATCTGTAATAAAGACCTTCCTTGACTCCTAAGTCTTGGTTAATGGGAAAAACAGAAGAATAAAGCAAATATATGAGGGGTTATTAACAAACAAATGCAGATGTGTGCTACTGTTAACTAGCTAATAAAAATTGCATACCTGACATAGTTTCAGGAATATATAGTTTTATGGAGGTCTTGGAATGACTCCCAAACTATTCTATCTATGTTTTTCCTGGAAATGGACATAAAGTACATTGAATTTCATTTACTCCAATGTTCAATAGTTAGAGGATTAAACTTAGCTCATCTTCTAGTTCTTTTAAGATTAGGTGCTCATAGTATGTTTATGTTTTACTTGACAGTTACAGTGAAATTTGAAAATTAGTTGTCATGGGGTATGAAGGAGTTTCTAAATAGGATTTTCTTTTTTTTCTTGTAAGTAAACAAATTATCTTTAAGTGAATAATAAACTGAGATCCATATGTCTGCAGTTTTGAAGTGGAGATGAGTTTTTAAAATTATTATGGCTTTTATTATGGAGCTGAGTGGTTTCTAGACTTACAAACCTGAACAACTCATTTGAAATTTCCTTTTGAATTGCAATATAAAAACATACAATTGGAATAATGTTCACGTTCAAAACTTGTTTTCATAGTTAATCCTAAATGTGTTCTTGAGAAAATGCAAAAAAACTGATTGAAGCAGCTTTTTCCTTTGCTATCACAAGTGCAAGATATTATTTCATTTGCTATCAGTAAAAGATGCTACATCCTATAAATTATTTCTGTATTTACCACATCTGAAAGTGAAGAGAGACAGCAGTCAGTGTTAAAGCAGTCCTTTCATAAGAATGAATTTAATATTTTGAGCAGAAAACACAGGAGTCACTTAAAATGTCTAAAAGGGAGCTAACCTTCATGAAGCAGACTTGGCAAGTCCTTAGTAGCTTGTTTACAGAGTGCTACAAAATCTATATTCCATTCCAGTATATTTGAGAAGGAGATGGTGGTGGCAGGGGAAGATAGTACAAGATTTAATATTGCAACAAGTCCTCTAAGATTGTTACCAGTATTTGAAGTATCAGTTTATAGAATAATAAAATTCTTGCATTCTTAGAAACCAGGATAATAAATAAACAAATGGATGTTTATCTGCATAGTTAATACATAGGTGAGCCTCATAAATCTACCAAAAAAAATTTTCTAGCCACAGGACTAAGCCATGGATTTTAAAAAAGTTGCTCAAAACAGCAAGTTGTTTTAGGAGGGCAAATTAGACACTTGAAGTTGAAGGCCTTAGTTCTTTGATATAGAAAGATTGTTTAGAAGTCCTAGTGCTGTAGTTTTTATAGCAAGTAACAGAAATTTTCATAATAAACACATTATTAGTCACATTTTTGGGGGTTCTCTCTTGACAAAATTGCTGTAAAAAATTCTGATGTATTGGGAGAACTTTAGGCTGCAACTTTAAAGGAATCTCAGTCAGTGCTCCCTAATGATAATACATAGAATCCTATTGACTTCAGCACTTACTTCAGCTAAGTGCAAAAAATCTGTGCAATTCTTTTTAGGATACACGGCTTGCTTGGAATATCTCAAAGTATGGAACTATTAAATCTTCAGCTGGAGACATGCATAAAAAAACCAAACAAACCCAAACTTTGCCTGAGAAACAAGAGAGACTAAATAGTTTCTAATCAATTTTAAAGAGTAGAATACACTATTTCAGTTGGAAGGGACCTACAATGATCATCTAGTCCAACTGACCAGTTCGGGGCTGACCAAAAGTTAAAGCGTGTTGTTAAGGGCATTGTCCAAATGCCTCCTAAGCACTGACAGGCTTGGGGCATCGGCCACCTCTAGGAAGCCTGTTCCAGTGTTTGACCACCCTCTCGGTAAAGAAATGCTTCCGAATGTCC